GAAGTCCGAAATAGGAATTCCGATTTGGGATATCCCAAGTTTAACTTGGGACATAGTGACGTTTGGGCTACAACATTACCATTACGAAATGATGACTCATAAAAAGAGAATAACTAAAGACTGAGAATATGTCATCAGCCACAACGATTTTCTTGTGACTCTGGCTGGTCACACTGATAATTGTATTCAATAGATAGGATTGGTGGGTATTATTATTTCATTTCTCTTTCGACTGATCGTGAAATTTTATTTTAAATAACAATCAACTCAAAACACCTAAATCAAACCATTTCTTCGAATAGGCTTAGCCACGAACACTAGAACACAAATACTTTCCGAAAAAGCCGAATTTTGGTGTCTTGCTATTAATTTCATGTTACAGATCATATTATTTATTTCGTATATGCATAACTTGATATTAATTACAAACGACTCATATTATGAAGAAGAAATGATGTGAATTTCTTTATAGTAAAATTTTTGTTTGAACTATCCATAAAACTAGTTATAGAATGCTTTTTGGATGATATTACATTTAAGTAGAATGAGTCAACGGTGATGAGGAGTTTTGGAACTAGGGCCAAATCTTTTCAGGTATTTGTAATATATATATACTGTATATATTCCCGTTCAATCTTTATACACTTTGATTTTCCCGAAAAGGTCACGTTATTATACGCATAACGAAATGTTTTAAAAATTAAATTTTCAACTGATTTAAGAAATAATTAATGCTGAAATACACAAAAAGAACAACTATAATTAAATTCTTTTTTATTCCAAACAAAAAGTATTTCTTTCGTATTAAAAATAAATACATCAAGTTATAATAAATTATTTATTTTCATATGATTAATTTTTTTACGTAATAATGCTTTTTTTTAATTACTCTAAATTCGTATCGTACTGTTTTCTAGATTCCCGATCTATAACTATAATTTAAATATTGTCTGAAATCTTCATAATTTCACCATGCTTCTTTTGATACCGATACCATTTATAACTTTGATTATGTTTTTATATGTGTAAAAAATATATATATCTAAGTTCAAGAACACTATGAAATCGATAAAAACAAAAATAAACAGTTACATAGCGCTTCTAGAATACTAATTTAAACTAAAGTTCTTTATTTTATTTAAATTAATATAAATATAAAAATAATATTTTTTCAGTAGAACATAAAAAAGGTTTTTTAAGTTTTTAAAAACTTCAATTAAAATTTTGCATTTTAAGTATTATAATTCAAAAACCAAGAATCAAAATATTTAAACTGTACTTAAATTAAAATTGTCAGCTTGTGATTGGTCAAAATACATTGTTTAAAGTTGGGAATTCAGATAGCCAGAAGAAGGGTGGGTGTTGATACTAAATTTGATTTTCAGATTTCAATTATCACAAGGATATTCGGATATTCGAGATTTTTTTCATTTGCAGACAAATATTAGAATATCCAAGAAACCCTATGTAACTGATTATTTGTTTTTTTATCGATTTCAAAATTTCCTTTCTTTAAACAAAAAAAAAAATAAGTACAAAATTGGTATCGTACTATGATATTTTTTTGTAAAAAATAAATTATTATCTCAAAAATAAATACATTGCAGCTATTAAATTATAAATATTATGAAATAAATTGAATTAATATGAAAATAATATAAAAAAAATAAAGGAGCAAAATTATAAACATACATATATGAAATGTTTGAAAAAGGTGATCGTAATAATGTAATGAAATGATTATTTTAGTTATTCGGACATGGATATACTTCCCAATTATGTACATGACCATGATAGTGCCAACATTGATCCTCTTCATTTTTGATTCCATCGAACTTTTTATAATTTAATTCCCACTGAAACTTAATTTTCGGCCAGAATTAAGACTTATGGTATTACAAAAATTTTGATATCTCTGCACAAATTTATAGTGTCGGTTAATTAGGTTAATTAAACACATACTGTAAATATATTTTTACACTATGTAAGTTATATATTCATCCTTTATAGCTAAAAGATATTTTTTACATGGTTTTCAAATTTAAAACTGATTCTTATATTAATAAATCATGTGGGCGTACAGTACCTCCTTAATTTGATGATGATTACAAATTTCCAATTTAAAATAAAAGTCGATTTTAGTAAAATATTAATAACTACTCCGAAAATACTTGAATACAGTACGTTATGTGATTGAATGTAACCGAATTAAAATTAAATAATAATAATGAAATTTTTTTTTTTACCACAAATTGTTTTAAGCAGAATCAGGATCATAAAATTTCAATAAATAGACAAGAATCAATATCTTCAAACACAACTTGATCCACTACAATAAAAATAATTTATTCATCATGAAATTTTTTATTTTTTTTGCAATCATTTTTGGTTTACTAGTACCTCTCTCTCAAGTTCAAGGTAAACTATTAAAAAATCATGACAAGAAATAATAATAATCATCGATTATAACTTGATAATAAATATACAGGCCATATTGTATGGATACAAAACAAGGTAGTAACTGGTGTTTGGACTAAGACTGCAGCAACCTCAGACGGTCAGACTTATATCGACATAGAAGGTGCTTATGCTCACAAAGGTTATCATTTGGAAATCCCTAATAATGTAGAAACATTTTCGCTTATTTTCATAGTTGATAATAATAAAAATTAATTCTTTTAACCGCCAATTACTTAAAAAACTCTTTTACCTATAATAGTCACCTGTTAAAATGAATTTTGTAAGTTTCAGGGAACGAAGTTTTTGATGATATTCTTTAATTAAATAAATTTTCTCATTTTAAAATTATACATTTTTGTAAAGTAACCTTTGCTAAGCCTATTAAAACCATATGGGAACGTTTCCAGTAAAATCAAGTCATGAGGCATAGTAAATCATATGATCCGTAATGTGATTTTACTGGGAACGCTCCCATATGGTATTGATAATTATTAAGAATTTTCCCTTGATATCAAAACAACGTATTTTGCTATAAAGAGCATTCTTTGATGTTATTTACATATTTTCATAAAATTGCAATATATAAAATTATAGATCCTAGAAGAACATCCAAAAGAAAATACCATCCTAAATAACCCGATGACAAAAGAAATAAAAATTCACCAACATGACCAACCATTCGATGCAATTACCCCGTCCCTTTATTGTATCACAGTATTTTACCCACTCGTTCACCGCCGCATTTCTTTAATTATCGCATTATACTTCTAATTTTCTTCGCGTTCTTAGTCAAGGACTTCGTTATCTTTTATTTGAATGGATTATGAATCCTATCGGCCATGATAACCGTAACCTTTTACTGCCCAGCCGAGTTTAGCAAGCTTTTCAGAAAGCTCGGAACTTTATTTATTTCAAAACTCTTTTATTCTTTTTTTGGAGCTGTATTATTCAAGTGATAACGATAAAACCATTTTGAAATTTTGTATGATCGTGAGTTAATCACGAGATTATAATAAAAAGTCACGACTTATAAAAAAAATCCCATACAGGTTTTGCCAAAAAAAAACTACGATTTCGGGACTGTGCAGTGTGCCAAAACATGAATTAACCCAAGTAATCATAGTTAGCATCTTATCTTCTTTGCAAGTTAAATTTGAATGTCATAAAAGTTTTAAAATTCCATTTTTTATTATTTGCAATTTTTGTAAAAAATTAATTAATAAAATTTAACACTTTTAGTAATATTAATTTCCATACGTACATTAAACTCTAAAATATAAGAAATCTGTATTTTTCAATACAATTTCTGTACAATTTTTATATTTTCATATTTAAATTTTTCTTTTTTTGTACCATGTTAAAAAAAATTTTTTTTTGACTTCTTCGACTTAGGAGTCAATCCGAAGACGTGATTCCCACCCCTATCCATGTCTTATCATCCCGACAACTAGCCCACAAAGTGATCAATTAAACATTTTAGAAAATAACCTTATGTTTACTAATAAAATATGTGATCACGTGTGATCTTACGATTATATACAAAGAATATTGTTAGTTAATAAAATTCATCTTTCTAATAAAATCTTAATCACTAAACTCCTACAATAAAAAATTAATGTTTTACGTAACATTGTTGTGTTAAATATTTTATCTACATAAATATTTGAAACTGAAATCTTCCATTCAGAGCCTTTCTCGAAAACAATTTCAAATTATTTGAACAATAAATACCATGTATTACCTTGTATAAATATTTATATATTTTATATATCATATCATACTTGATTTTTTCATTCAAAATTTTAAAAAATACAGGGATTAAAATAGCTTTAAAGAATCAAAGCAAATATTTACTTACGATACAATCATTGGTACTTACTTGGTCAAGTATATATTTAACACTTTTTTCAACAAAAATTTTACCGATAATAATTTTATTGGATCTGTTCTTTTGATTTAGTTATACGGGCCGAAAGCAATGTCTGGAAGAATCTCGAAAAGCGGAGTGTGATTTTTCTATTGAGGAAAAGGAGTCAATTATCTTCGAATTCAAATGAATTTGTAGAAGTTTACAATAGATCTATACAACGATTAACTTTAGAAAAAGATCTTTTTCTATTAATTAAGCCATTAACCATTTTCGTTTTTCTATAAATTTCGGATAATGTTCAAATTTGAAAATACCGAATAACGAATGATATCGCTTATCTTACAACTTAATTATCACAATTTATACTGGAAACAGTTATAATGCAATAAAAACCTCGGTCTAAACTCCCTAATGGCTGCCTACTATCTTCAGAGCAAAGTTAAATGTAATCTTCTCTTCGAAAACAATATCCTTTACGCAATAATTGGCTACTTTCTTAGTGGATTCTGTAATTTGCTTTTGTTTGAGACCATTTCATGATATTGTTATATAATCCATTATACGAGCTAAATCAAGATCATATAAATTTACGTTGGGATCGACTTAGTAAGAATTTCTAATTTTTCTCGTTCAAAAAATTGATTTCTAAATAATTGCATATCAAAATGAGGTCAATAAAATATAAGTTGCTGTTATTCGTTGATGATCAAGTCAAAAAAAATTCTTATATTCTAAAATTAATTTCACTATGTTTCAATATTATTTTTTCTGATCAACTTTAGATCGCATAATAGGGTAGATTCTAATTGAAGTGATCAATAAATATTGACTGTGGAGGAGTGCACCAGTTACCGCAACATTGTAAGTCACGGATGAGAATTATCTTGAAAAGCAAAATATAATTTACTTGGAAAGAATTGCAATAATCCTATTAAAAATATCCCATACAGTTTTTGTGTAGCTTTTGTGCCAATAAAAAACACTACAATTTTCGGACAGGATGCCAAAACATGAAATAACCCTAGTACCTGTACGTTCAAATTTTTAGCACATTTTTCCTACAACATTTGAATTAGAAAAATAACTGTACTAATCAATATAGTTTTTGTATGATTATTTCATAGCTTAAATTTATTATCATAGATAGTATTTTTGTCTGCTTTGCAAGTTTACTTTTAACACCTAGAAAGGTTTTAAAGCTCAGTTTGTTATTATTTGCAATTTTTGTAAAAAATTAATTAATTTAACTTACCCACTTTTAGTAATATTAAATTTTCCATACGTCGATAAAATACTAAACTATACAAAATCTGTATGTTTTAATTTTTCAATACAATTTCAGCATAATTTTTATATTTTTCAAATTTCAAATTTTTTTTTCTGTACGATTTCTCTACATTATAATTTCTGTACAATTATTTTTGTATGGAAAATTGAAATAACTACATAAAACTGTATGATTTCAGTATACACCTGTACGAATTCAGTACGAAACCTGTACAACTTTTTTTCATATGGTAAAGAAAGTAGATAATAGGTAATTGTTGCCATCATTGCCATCAGTAATGTTTCAGTAGTTAAATTTTCTTCCTGTCATTACCATAACTTTGGCATTTTTTAATGACTTTTTTATTTTTAGGTCACAAAACTGTAATTGGCAAGATTGCAAAGAATCAAATGCTACAAATTCGATAACGTTCATGTAAGCTTATCTTATTGCTACTGGATCTTACTTATATTAATACTATTTTATGTTTCATTTACCTGGCGTTGTTTTTTCATGGCTAAGAGTGTATTATTCCCGCTTCCTAATCTTATCTAGCATGTTGGCCCTTTGTAGTTGATCGCCAAGAGCCCGAACCGCAGTGTCTCTATTATATGCACTGCAAATAAGATATCATTTTTTTATATATTTACCTTTAAAATTCTTTAATAACCAAAATTTATATACTGATTCTGTTTATCAAAAGCAAATCTTTAATTTAGTAAGGACTGTCATATCAGTAAATGATTGTTGGCAAGTAAAATGTTTGTTGAAAAAATGAGTGGATATCATTCACAGAATGCTGTCTAATTTGTCACCTTTCGAAAAATTAATGCCTTCGTTACCGCTTAATTGTTTTTGCGATAGTGTTGGTGAATTTGCTGTTGGTTGCTTCTCATTTAAAATCAAATTAACAATACTATATATGAAATAATAGATATTTTGACAAATTTTTACCACATGAAAATAAAGTTAAGTGATTGATTGCAAAATAATTAAATTTAATTATATATACCTTGTATTCATTTTCGTTCATAAGTCAACTTTCGTATTAGCATTATCTTTTATACGTTTTTTTATTTTTAAAACCGTTTTATCATCAATGGAATTGACATCTTTCATACCAGTCAATAATCGATGATCCTATTCAAATTTGCTAATTTTCTCTATCTTGCTAGCACTTCCTTGCATATTCAGCATATTCATCAGAAACATATTATTCTTTCACAAGTATTGGGATTTCACAATCTTTTATTCTAAAAATCAAAACTCAAAGAGTAACTTCATTTATTATTATTTATCGCTAAAAGAAAAGATTTTCAAATTTCAAGTTGTACTTACCCTTATTTTAAATTGGAAATTTGAAATTTCGGCATTATTTTCGTAAAATCAACACTATATGAAGTACATTCTCGACCTTCAAATTTGCAATATACTAATATACAGCATACTAATAAATACCCCGAGAATGCGTTCATTTATCATATGTGATTGACAGTATACGATTTATAAATTAATTAATACGACCAAACTTTTTTTTACCATAAATTGTTTTAAGCAGAATCAGGATCACAAAATTTTCAATAATAGACAATATAACATCTTTAAATAATCCACTACAATATAAGAAAATTTATTCGTCATGAAAACTTCGACAATTTTGCAATTATCTTTGTTTGCTATTCCTTCTCGTTCAAGTTCAAGGTAAATTTATCATAATAATGTCAAAAATTTAAATATTAATAATATTCGTTAAATAACTTTTTTATGTATTGGCTTGATGAAAACAATAAATAATCAGGCCTATTGTATGGATACAAAACAAGATAGCTGCTGGTACTATACTGAGACTGGAGCCTACACAGACGATCATGGACATGAAAAATGGCTCATCGTAAAAGTGCAACGTCTCACCATGGTTATCATTTGGAAATTCCTAATGATATAAAATCATTTTGGCTTGTTTTCTCAGCTAATGGTTTTAGTAAAACGAGAGGTCCTTTCAATAATGAAGGGATATATGTTGGCACTATCATGGTGAAACATGGAGCTGGCAAGTATATCCATGTAGAGAGTCTAAAATGACCATTTCATTACTCTTTCACGATCACTTTTTTTCAAACATTTCTTTTATTCTATGATTTTAAATCATTTTGCATCTTTATTTTTGTTATATTATGATTATAAATTTAATTTACATTCATAATTCATTAATTGAAATTATTGTCTTATTAATAAATATTATTTTTATCTGATGTACTGTATTTAATGATATAAATTTATTAATTTTACAATAATATGATCATACGATACTTGAAATTTTGAGTTTTCGCATAATATGTACATTACATTTTAACTTTAATTTTTGATTTAAAGAGAGAAAATATGAAATCGATATAAAAATAAATAAACAGTTACTTCCGTATGAAAATATAATATTCGAATTTTTGTTTGTAAATGAAATTAAACATCATTTTAAATTATTGAAATTGAAATTAAATTTATTAGCCAATAGGGTATTTTGTCAATTAATTGATCTTCATGTCATGTTTGAGACTCACTCATATTCGAGATGTTTTGATTATCGAGTCCTTAATTTTTTTTTTTATTTGTCAAACAAATCTTAGAATATTCTAGAAACCCCATGTAACTGTTTATTTGTTTTTTATCGATTTTAAAATTACCTTTTTTTAAATCAAAAAAAAAAATTAAAGTTTCAAATAGTTGTATCGTACATTTGTTACATTCATAGAAACCAACCCATTCAGATTTCTGTTACACCCATTTTAAATTAATATTTTAAGAATATATTTCAAGAGTGCTTTTGAGTTTGATATTTAATTATATTCAAAGTTATGACAATATGGAGGAATGTTAAAATAATTTCTGTATCAATTATTTAATTTTAAAAACAGTATAATTTCTAAATTGTATTGGGCCATCTATGTATATGTTACCTCTTATTTTCGTAAGAAAGGTAATTAATGGATTTTATTTATTATGTTGTATACGAAGCATTGTAACAAAATATGTAAATCAAGTTTTAAAAGAAATAAATAAAGTTTTTATTAAGATAAACAAAAAAAAATAATTTATTAAATAAAATGTTGAAAAATTATAATAATTGCAACTAGTGCTCCGAGCCGGTATAATCGACTCGGGTCATTTGACCCGACTCGAGAAAAAATTCGAGTCGGGACTATCATTTTATGTCACGAGTCCTAATTTCTTAAAACCCGTCGGGTTAGGGTCTCGATTTTGCTTGACCCGAATTGCTATTAAATGATATGTGATATGCAACTTTTTGGTGAAACTATCGACCTTATTAATTCCGATAATACAGCTTCTTGGAAATCGAAATAATTGCGAAGCGAATCCAAAGAGCTTTTGAAGAGAAACTTCTTCCACCTGAATATAAAATTCAAAAACACACATCAATTCAAAAACACATCAAGAAGTAAGATGCCTTAACTGTTCATATCTTATTTAAATAGAGTATAATTTGGTATATTTTAGGTAGATATTTTTTTTTTCAAGAATATTAGTGGACATAAAACGTGGCTCCGCAATATTGGTGACTCAAATTTCAAATACAAAAATATTATGTCGTTATTTAGAGCGCAATCATCCAAATAGAAAAAAAATTATTTTAATAAAACCTGTTGAATCATTTTAGACTTAATTTGCGCATGAATTCCTGGAGCCAATAATATGTTTAAAAAATCTATATTTGAATCAATGTACAACCAAAGAACTTTAAAAATAAAAAACTTTCAAATTTAATACACACATTTTCATTATATACATAAATAAAAAATATTTTTTTACTTCGGAATTAATATTACTGTAAAATTCGAGTCGAATACGAGTTTAACGATAATCGGATCGGGTCGAACAATAATCGGGTCGAGTCGAATTCGGGTCCTGTAAATATTAACGGGTTCGAGTTCGAGTTTGCTTCATACCCGACCCGACCCGACCCTTAAGGAGCACTAATTGCAACTATTACTGCCTCTGCCATCGCTCTGTAATAGGCCCAAAGAGAAAAGGAACCATCTATTCAAAATATTGTTCAAATTCTATCGTAAACTAAGAGCAGAACGAAGCGTTTATACACTAAAATTCTTTCCTAGGGCTTTGTTAAGGCATTCTTTAAAAATATCAGGCAACTTGCGGCTTGGATGACGGAAATGCTAATTAATTGATCCCTAATGTCAAAAGTGGTCATTTTGTCATATATCTTCCATCTGTACAAGGAGTCCGTATAGTCTTAAAGATCCGAAAAGTCAATTCCGACAGAATTGACTTGTCATAGCTGCGGTGATCAAAAAATCTGGGCGAAGTCAATCAAAATCCAAATTCATCAAATCTTCAACAAATTAAGAAGAATACGTTAGTGTGCCATTAATTAATTAGTTTTAAGCTTACCATAAACTTTCAAAAGTGCGAAATAATATATGAATTAAAAACAAATAACAAAATCTTTTGGTATATATATTTATTAAACAAATAAAAAATGAAATTAACAAAAACAAAATAAAAGAAAATTATTTCAAAATTGACGATAAAATAGGTCCAAACTTTAAGAAATAAAGGTACGATATTTTTATTGATGTTGAATCAACATTGGCAGATAATTATTATATTTAGTTAAAAGAACATTAAATATTTCAAATTTGGCTTCTCAATATAAGCTCCATTGTGACCATATAATGAAATTAATTAATTTGTCATAAAAATAATATAAAAAAAATGTATAGAAAAAATTGATATGAAAAAAAAGTAATGAATCGATCATTTAACATTCATTTACGAACCAATCATACGCAGTACCATAAAACTCCCAACATTCATCCTTATCATTACTGATTGGGCCTTGAATATTTATACCTCCCAATGCACCAGCTTCGAATTCAAGGAGATATGAATCTATAGATTCAGTTATATTCAAAGAATAATTCTTCGGAGAAGTTGCACTTTTTTTGTCGATTATTCTGATTATTCCTTCTTGAACTGGTTTGAATGCTGTAACAGTTGTAACTATATCGTCTATCTTGTTGTTTATTATCGATACGATATAGCCTGCATATTTATTATTTACATACAACCAATACAAAAGTTATTAAACGATGATTATTAAATATAATGTCATTCATGATTATTCAACAGTTTACCTTGTGTTAGAGAGACTAGCAGACAAAATATGATTGCAAAAGAGATAAAAGATTTCATGACGAATAAACCTATCTATTTTTTTATAGTTGTGGAGTAAGTAATATTTTGAAAAAGTTAAGTTATAAAGTTATGGTTCTAATTCTTTTCTATTTATTGAAAAATTTGTGATGCTGATCCTTCTTAAAAAATTTTGTGTATTATCAATAATTCATTCTGAGCAATCACATATGATAAAGTGTACCTCACCATATGCAATTATGAATAATAAATAGGAAAGTCGTATATTCGTTTTGCGATTTAATAATATATATTTATGAATTCATATTGTGTATTATTTGGGAATGTTTCCAGTAAAATCACATCACATTACGGATCATATGATTTACTATGCTTCATGACTTGATTTTACTGTGCAATTCTATAATGCATTTGATCACCAAATTAAGGCACATGATTGTCAACAGATAGTATATTAATAAAGAAGCCGGAAAAATATTTAAAATTTAGTGTAACATCTAAAATTAGAATTTAGAAGTGATCAACGCTAATTTTAGAAATGATTGACTTATATTAAAATTAAATTGTAGTTTCAAATGTTTAATTTTTTAAAAAATTTAATTTTATACATATAAACTTTCATTTATAGGGGATCTGAGGGGTATTCATACCCTCAGAAAAATTTGTTTCATTATAAATACTTTTTTTTTTTTTTTTTTTTTAAAAAAAAAAGATGTTTTAGCTAAAATAAATTAAATAATTTATAAATAAAATTTATTAAAAAAGAATATAAAAAATAAAATAAAAAAATAAAATAAAAATAAAAGTAAAAGTAAAGTAAAGATAAAAGTAAAAGTAAAAGTAAAAATAAAAATAAAAATAAAATAAAAATAAATTAAATAATAATAATAATAAATATTAAGATTCAAAGTAATAAATATCTTTATATGGATTATCTATATATTATCTATTTTTTTATGCAATATTTCTTTTATTTGACATTTGCTGATTCTAAAATATTTAATTGCTCATGTATATTATAATTCTTATTATTTAAAAACTTCATTACTATTAGATTTTTTTGAATAATAAACTTTTTTTAAATCTTAAGATCACTTACTAAAATGAAAATAATAGTAATCATTTATATTATTTATATGAGAGTAATTATAAAATTTTATAAAAATAATTCTTAAAAATCATATCGTTTCCATCCAACTCTATTATTATATTTAAGTTCTATATTAGACACTTACAAATTTATTTATGATTTTTTCAACATCATCTATAGTATTAATTTTATCATCTTTAAAATTTTTTTATTTTTTTCAAAAAATGAATTAAAAATAAATTTTGTTTAACCTGATATCATAAAATTAACAGTAAATATTATTAAAATAACCCATCATACATAACCAACTTCAAAAAAATAATAATAAATTATTTTTTATTTATTCATTACAATTATTACAGGTTATTTGTAAATTTTTTGTTTTAAGATTATTTTTAATAGATTTTTTTAAAATGATCCATTTCACTTCATGTATATTTGGTATAGTTTTATACCAAAGACTAAAGCTAGAACAATTCAGATCAATTTGAAAATTTTTTAGATTAGTTTAGTTTTTTCAGTTCAAATAGTGTATAAAAAATCAAACTGAAGATCAATTCAGATTTTTTTTAGATTATAATTCAATCTGAATTGAAAAAAAATCTGAACTAACTGGATTCAATCAAAAAATTTTGGATTGATCTGAAGTTTTAGATTTTAAGGCATCTTTTATAGGAAAATAACTAATAAAGATTACATCTGAATTACTAGAAACAACTTTTAAAAATACAACAAAGTCAAACCTGAATTGTCAGTAATGACTTTTATTCAAAAAAAATACTAATAATGTTGTCTTTAACAATTCAGATATAACATTTATTGTAAAAAATAATAGTATTAAATTGTCAATGCTAGGAAAATAATAATAACTTTCATATCTGAACTGTCAGAGATGACTATTATTATAACAAAATAATAATAGTCATTCTGACAGTTCATATGCAATTTTTATTATTATTTTTATAATAAAAATCGCCTTATAATTCAGATGTAATTTTATTATTATTTTTTATAATAAATTTACTTCTGACAATTTATATGAGACTTTATTATTTTTTTTTATTATCACATCTGAACTTTCAGAGATGACTTATATTAGTATTTTCTAATAAATATTGCATCTGACAGTTCAAATGTGATAATAAAAAATTAATAATAAAAGACACATGACAGTTCAAATATGACTTTATAATTATTTTTATAATAAAATTGCTTCTGACAGTTCAGATGTGACTTTTATTATTATTTTTATAATAAAATCACCTCTGACATTTCTGGTTTAACTTTTTCTAATAAAGTTACATACAAAATGTTGATGGCAACATTTATTATAGCATTTGAACTTTTAAAGGTGAATTTATTATCATATTTCTATAAAAGTCACTTCTGACAGTTCAGATGCTACTTTTTCTAATAAAGTCAACCCGAACTGTCAGAAGCAGCTTTTATTATAGCTTCTGAACTTTCAAAGTAACTTTTTTTAGTATTTTATAATAAAAGTTATATCTAACAGTTTGGATGTGACTTTATTATATTTTTTTATAATAAATTCGCTTCTGACAGTTAGGATGCGACTTTATTATTATTTTTTATAATAAAAGTCACCTTTGAAACTTCAGGTTCAAATTTTTCTAATAAAGCTGCACCCAAATTGTCAGAGGTAGCTTTATTATCACTTCTGACAATTTGAATGTGATTTTTATTATTATTTTTTATAATGAAAGTCACCTGACAGTTCAGTGGTGAATTTATTATCATTTTTTTTAATAAAAGTCACCTCCGACACTTCAGGTGCAACATTTTCTAATAAAGTCACACTCAAAATATCAGAGGCAGCTATTATTATCACTAAAATTTTAAAAGAATGGGATGATTCACCGTTGAAAAAAAACAAAAATAAATGAAGCTATATCAGTTTCATACTTATCACTTGATTTTTGGTATGCAAATGTTGTAAAATTTAGTACATCGAAAGTATTAATTGGAGAAACGTTTTCAGCAGACTGCATTACTTGGGAAGCTGCACGTCAATATGATACCAATTAATTTCATATTTTTAAGACTATAAAATATCAGTTGATAATAAAAGAGAAAAAGCAAAGAAAAGAGATTTGTAAAATCAAGAAAATAGAGTAATTATACTTTGAAGTCACGTGATAAAATTTCTACATATAAATAAAATCCAAAAGTGACCCGGACATGTAACGTGAACCAAAAATCCAAATTTGTGTTGGCCTAACTGAAATCTACTTGCTACAGAATCTTGTTTGATGAAGATGTAATGGATGGAAACCATTGAAAGATTTCATACCAATTGCGAGTTTTTTATCATATGGGAGCTTTGCTATTAAAAGTGGGTTCTGAGACTATAAATTGATTTTGAGTAAATGATGATCAAAAAATAGTTACGCCACAATAAACATACTTGTCCAATAAAAAATTGCACTAAAAATATTAAAAA